CATCATCATCATCATCATCATCATCATCATTATTATTATTATTATTATTATTATTATTATTATTATTAACTTTATTGCACTAATAGCAGCATCTAATTTATGGGACCTTTGGATCAGCTGTTCTCCATGCAATCAAACTGGTGGGTCTGGATCATTTTAATGTTTATACTATTAGAAATTCATCCGCAAAATGGGAGAAATAAGTCTCCAACACTACCACCACTGTTGTCATTGTAGTCCTCCAGGAGATAGAGGACAAGGGTTTTACCACAATACCTATCTAACTGGATCCTTTCCCACCCACAACCACATCCGTCTGAACTTTCCATCATGCAATTTTAATTACAAGAGATTGGAATGGCTTAATTAAGCTAAAAAAAAAAAATCCTGGTAAAAGTGATTTATGATGTTTGAAAAAAGAGAGCACTAATAACCTTACTTGCTGCTCTTATTAAATAATGGATTTTGAGGAGGGAAAACCCTGCAAAGAAACATATCAGTCAATACCTCCCCTTTCTTTGGAACAAATACATACTTAAGTTCTTGAGAATTGGCCGCCATTAAGGATTTTAACGTCTTGTCAGCCAAAGGACACCCAGAAACACTAAGAAAATGAAATGCAAGACAATTTTAAGGATATTGTAACAAAATAATAATTAAAAAGATTACTGTTTGTTTTCTTTTTAGAAATAAATTAAAAGCTTAACCACCAAATCCAAGACTTCAGGATTAATATTATTTTTTTTGTTTCAGTAAATACATGCAGTTGAAGGGGATCTTGCGAATTACCAAGTCCAAAGTATTTAGGATCTTACAGATTAAAATATATTTTAAATTGGGCCTAGAAATGTATACTGGTCTTGGTTATTATTATTACAACTACTTATTATTACAACTGGCAATTGCAGTCTTGTATCTTTATAGTTTGTTAAATTCTCTCACATTTCATTTTTTTTACCTGCGGTGAGATGCATAGTTTCCCGTTACGTGACCACTACCATCGCATCCTGGAGTTGGACACCTAAGAAAATAAAGTGAACCAGTCAGACACAAATTAATTAAGAAAAAAAAAAGCATAAGAGGGAATAACTATCTTCTGATGGAGGAACCATGTTCTGATGCTCTCCATGATCATTGGTCTGCGCAAAAGATTTGATGTATTGCAGTAGTCTGTACTCCAGTAGGATTGGCACCAGTGGTGGGTTGCAGGCGGTACGCCACGATAAGGGCATACCGGAGCCTGTCTGGGGCACCAGGTACCACTCCGGTATGGTGCTCCGGAGGGGCCACCCATCTGCCCATGCTCCTTACCTGTCTTTACGTCTTCTGCGCATGCACACGGCATGTACAGCGCCTGTGTGACGCTCCGCCAAGCAGCTGGAGCATCACGAAGGCTTGCGGAGACATTGCTGGACTGAAAGATGCATGTGTGTGTTGTGCGCAGTGTGCTGCGCATGTCCATGTGGACAACGTCAGGCCTGTTCCAACCGTACCAGCTGGAACAAGATCCGGAACCCACCACTGGTTGGCACAGTTGTTTTGGGAGGTGCCTGTGTACCTGTTATACAAGCAACACTCATGGTACCAGCCAGAGGTGGTATTCAGCCAGTTCTGACAGGTTCTGGAGAACTGGTATTGAAAATTTTGAGTAGTTCAGATAACCGGCAAATAGGCTGGCCCTGCCCCCACTGCTTCCTAGCCTTCCAGCTGATCTTCTTTTGTTGCCCTGAACAGGAGAATGGAGCTGGAAAGCAGGTTAGTGGGGTAGGAAGGGAATTGAGATTTTGCAGTATCCTTCCCCTGCCATGCCTACAAAGCCATGCCCACAGAACCAGTAGTAAAAAAAAATAAAAAATGAATCCCACCATTGGTACTGGCAATATGAACTGGCTTCATTGACATGCATGGATAATTTGGGAAACTTCTTGAAGCAACTGCACAGTATTTCTCAACCTTAGCAACTTTGGAGTGTTTTGACTTCAACACTCAGAATTTCTCAAGCAAATAGGTGGAGAATTCTGGGAATTGAAGTCCAGACATCTTAAAGTTGCTAAGGTTGAGAAACACACTTCTAAAGGATGTTCCTGCCTCTGGGCTTTGAAGAGAGCCATTCCATTCAAGTCACTATGCTTTCTGAAGTGTTCCTTCAAATGCTTTATATAATGAAATGTGTAAGTAATGAGGAAGCTGTCTATCTTCTTTCTGTCCTTGCTTGCTTATGGCTAAGCAAAGCTCATATTTCCAATATTTCTGGGAAGGAGGGAGGGAGGGAGGGAGGGAGGGAGAGAGAGAGAGAGAGAGAGAGAGAGAGAGAGAGAGAGAGAGAGAGATTCTTTCTATATGCCTGTTTTAATTCCTTTTTATCAGGATCTGAACCTTAGTTCAAATCCTGGTTTGAAAAAAACTTAGAACTTCTTTTCCTTATACTGGAAACAGTGACATTCAGGCATCAGACATCTGGAACTTTAGAAGTCCACCCCCACCTCTTGGTTCACTTCTACCCTCTGCCTGACATACTTTTTATTACCCTTATTTGTCTATTTCTCTTTTCCAGTAAATCTCCTCTACCTAAACTGCAATAATCTGGCTCACTGCTAGAGTTAGAACTTTCTGTGTCTTGTAATAGTTGTAGCAACCCAAATATCTTAGGATGTGATTAGATGCAATGAATTAAATGCAGAAAGGAAATGCACATGGAAAAACACATAGTTGACAAGTTCCACTGTGGCAAGCTCCTAATCTAAGCCCTTTAAAAGAAAAACATATTTTAGTGGCTTCCAGTGCTAGTTAAAAAAATAAAAAATAAATGAAGTTTACTACTGGTTTCGCCGATGCTGGTATTACCTGTTATAAAAAGTCAAAAGTTCCACATATATAGAAGAAAGAGATGGGGAAAGAGAAAAGCAAACATAGAAAGCTATGTGTGTATGATGGAAAAACATGTAAGAGTGAAAATATAGACTTGCTGAGAAATCAGATAATATTACTGTTTATTTTAATAGTGTTTTAATTGGAGGTGCACTTAGTTTAATTCTATAAAATACCTTCTCATGATTGTCTTCCTTTCTACCTGCTTATAGCTGCCTTACTCAATGTTAACTAGTGACATTATAATGATTACTAATTAGTATAACAAGAGCAGCTGAACTCAGGTCCCCAAAAGAGGAGGGAAAGACTAGTTTGGGAAAATACTGCTTTAGTGTAATAAACATGGATTATAATACTATAAGTATTTTCACTGAGATGCATCTGCATTTTTGATAGGGGAAAATGAAGATGGGAGCTGCAAAGCTATAGCCTGAAGAGATGAAAATGTATTGTTTTCTCATAAAGTAACTAAACCATTTAATTATTCAGTCAGCTATCCACTAATGAGTTGAGCCTTCTAACATTTTTTCTATTTTCTTTTTAAATAATTAATTGAGTACAACTTTCGGTAATATCCTTAAACCATCAGTGAATCTCCCCATTGTAGCTGCTTAATAGTATTTCAAAAATAGACAATATAGTTTCTTTTAAGTAATAACACATCTGATAACCTTGTTCATTCTGTGGAATGCAATTTGCCTTGGTATAATATAATCATTGAAGAGGTCATTAATATTCTAAAAGATGTAATCCATATTTATATTTGCATTGTAATTGAGCTTCAGACAGAATTTCTCTGTATAATTGCTGTTGTCATTCTTGGTATTTCCTCATGATGGAGCCATTTGCATTACAAATTCTGTCAGCAAATATTTGGTAAAAGTTTCTTGCCCTGAGTGTTACTTTTAGACCTTTTACATACTTGTATTGAAACATATTTCAGTTAAATTACACAGCCAAGCATATTATAGATGCACATTAGCAAACAAAAGAACTATTACTGGGTGCTTTAAAATCTAATGCAAAGTTTACAAGGTATGTAAGTTATTATATGCAGAGTTTAATTATATTCTGTGTTTATTGTGTTAAACCATCGGGGAGCCTGGGAATTAACATTCTACAAGTGGAATTCATGAATCAGTGAATGAAAAATATGATTTTAATCCAATACATTCCATTAATATTTTCTTCATACAAGAAAACTAAAACACAACTGATGCAATGTGTGTGTGTGTGTGTGTGTGTGTGTGTGTGTATGTATGTATGTATGTATGTATGTATGTATGTATGT